TGATGCTGCTTGGCCTGCTGTGTTCATCCAGCTCTACGCCTTGTTATCTCAGATTCTCCAGCATCTGCAGTTCCTACTATCTCTGAAAATCCATTCAGTTGGCTTAGTTTAACTGGAATGTAAGGTTAAGAAAGGAGATAAGAAGTAGTGCACCTGACTTTAAACTTCATTTGCAGAGAATGTTGTTCTTCAGTTTAATTTCACCTTATAATGATTTAGAAATCAACCTTATTGTCTTTTCTGTGGAAACCTTTTTCTGCTTTGTCATGTGATAACAAGAAGAATTAAGTCCTGTTCCAAACGTGATATTCTGAAGCAGTGAATGAGAATTAGACCAACATCTATTAATGATTAATATCCAACTTAAATATAATTCATCGCGGCACATTTCATATTGATCAGTGTTTGAAACCAATTAGCTTTTGTCTAGTGACTAACTAAAATATTAATATTTCAGGATTGTTAACTCGGATGAGCTTGTATACATTTGTCTTCACTTGACTAGTGGCGGTTCTATTAAGTAGTGGATAAATTCCATATGTTCTACTGAAATGTGTTTTGAACCACAGCCAAAGTTTTAAACCTCTGTTCAGGAGAAAAACTGTACCATTGTTGAAAGAATTTAATTTGGAGAAATCTGCAGCTGAAGGGAAACCTCAGGAAGGTTATAAAAGCCAAGTTTGCACAGGTCATTGAAGTCAGTGCAGAGCAAACTAACGTACAAATATTGACTTCCACAGAGGCTGCTACAAAACAATATATATCCCGTTGTAAATAGTGCTGACTTCATAAATTCAGATGTTACAAATGGAAAATATTTCAAGGTACAAAGCAGTCTAGTATCAAATGCAAAAATGCTGGAGAAATTTCTGCACAGGGTATGCAGTAATTTTGAGAAACCAATTACATAACTAAAAGCCAACAGTGATAGAATTTACTTCAACTGATTATTTTAGTTATTCTTAACAGTCAAAAATGAATTTTCAGTTTATAGAGTGAAGTTGCAACTGAAAGCACATGCAGACATATTGAAAGACATAATTAAAATCTATGATTTTTCTTAACATTTCTATAAATAGGTGTAGCCAACGAGAAACTGTCTATTTCTGGATGCGGTTGAGTTGGCTCCACAGCTAAATGCTTATCGATAGGAAATGTCCTAAAATGAATTATGCAGAAAAGGCCATTTTCACATCTCCCAGAATGGCATGGATAAGTTCTGCAGGTGGAAAGAAGTGCTTGCCCATGCTGCAGAAAGCTAGTGCTGCAGTGAAAATATTCCTCACTGATTACTGGAGAGTGTATTTGAAGAAACAAGGTGACCACTTTTCTGGTCAACCTGTACTGCAAAATCTTTCTTCTCGATTAGGATAATCAATAATGGAGTGTGAACATTGATGTTAATGGCCAGTTGTACTCGAAGGGGCTGAAGTTACTGTGTTATTGGGTAGCCTCAAATAGTTAAAGCAGGTTATCTTAGAACCATCATCTGTCCAACTGCATTGCCCAAGAGGATCCATTATAACAGTTGAAGGCCAGATTCAGGCAACATTAAAACGCTCAAAGATGGGAACATTGTAGAAGCATTGTGTATTGTCTGAAGTAATCTGTTCTTACTGCAGGGTAGGACAGCCTGCACACCCATCAACCTCATTCTTAAAGTAGACTCAATTATGTCAAATTGCAGCAAATGAGTTGACACAATACCCAAAAATCTTTAAAGACTTTGGGAAATTAAATATCACACTTAAGGTAGAAGCCAATCCATCTGGATGTCCCACACCCGTTTAGAATCAAAGTAAAAGAGGAGATTAAGGTGTTGATCCCAAATACTGTTATTTCCAGAGTCATGCAGCTTACTATATCCTACTTAACAGTGGTGCCAGTTCTTGAAGTGATTGGCTCCATTAGAATTTGTCAACTAAACACATTTGGAAAGGTAGTGCAACAAGGGATACATCCTATGGCATCTGTAGGTAACAAGCTAGCTAAACATGCAAACAACACTACCTTCACTAAGCTGGAAATTGTTATGAGCAAGACTGAATGATTGTACTGTTGCAGCAGTTCCAGTACACTACAGGTCGCAGCATGAAATAAGAATTATTTTTACAGTGTCCAGATGGCTAATTAAATACCTTATAGAGTCCCTACATGAAAGAGGCCATACGGCCCAGCGAGTCTGCTTTGACCCTCTGAAGATCATCCTACCCAGACCCACACCCCACCCTATCCCCATAACCCCACATTTCCCATCGCTAATTCACTTAACCTACACATCCCTGGATTCTATAGATAATTTAGCATGGCCAATCACCTAACATGCACATCTTTGGACTGTGAAAGGAAACAGGAGCACCTGGCAGAAACCTGGCACATAGTCATGGGGAAATGTGCAGACTCCACACATACAGTCATTCGGGCGGTGATAGAAGGTGGATAGTGGAGCAGGTAGGTGGGAGAGAAGACGGACAGGTCAAGGCAGCAGGGATGAAGCGAGTGAAGGTGGGTGTAGGTAGGAAGTTGGGATGGGGGTTGGTCAGTGAGTTGGTCCCAACTTCCTACCTACACTCACCTTCACTCACTTCATCCCCGCCGCTTTGACCTGTCTGTCTTCTCTCCCACCTATCCACTCCACTATCCACCTTCTATCACCACCCCCCCCCACCTCTATTTATTTCAGAGCCCCCTTCCCCATTTCTGAAGAAGGGTCCAGATCTGAAACGTCAGCTTTCCT